AAGCTTGTCTGGGAATTTCATCCAGTTTTTATGTGAGGGGGAGTTGAAGGCATTTCAGCAAAGCAAACAGCTGAATGATGTGTCAGTTAAAACTTGAAATGTTTGTTTTAGAAGCATTTTTGGATATAATAAAGTCTATCAAAATAACAAAAGTTCAACTAGAAAGACCTTAAAATACATTGCAAAAGAGGATTGCTTTATATATTGTCTTGAGGAGCCAAGAACCATTACAGATGCTTCTGAAGTCCACACGCATATTGAGTACTTCAGCCAAAGTATTATCCCTAAAGCAGAGAATCATCATCACTAGGAGAGGTGACACTAGAAGACAAAAATTTGGTTGGAAAACTATTCCAATCTTGAGTCAGATGCTCTTCAAATTCTAAGCACAAAATCTTTTCTAAGAATAATTGGAGTTAAAGGAGTGTGAGATTCCATTCTTAGGTTTCGCTGGTACATTTCCCTAAATCAGGACAACTTTAAAAGTATAGGTTCTGGTGGGTGCAGTACCTATAATCTAAGAACTTCAAGAGGGCATGGCAGGCTTATCGCTTGAGCCCAGGAATTTGAGACCAACTTAGGTAACATAGTGAGACCCTATCTATATAAAAAATAATTTTCGAAAATTAGTGAGCATGGTGGCATGCGTGTGTGGTCCTGGCTGCTTCAGAGGCTGAGGCAGGAGGGTGGCTTAAGCCTAGGAGATCAAGCTTTGCAGTGAGCCGTGATCGCACCACTGCACTCCAGCCTGGGCAAGAGTGAACCCTTGTCTCAAAAAGGAAAAAAAAAATGTGTGTGAATGTGTGTGTGTGTGTGTGTGTGTGTGTGTGTGTGTATTCCATATATACATATGAACTAACAAAGAACTTCATTTTGACAAGAATGGTGCTGTTTGCCTTCTTATTAGGTAAATATTTTTATCTCAGTTTAATATTAACTGCTGATTGGTGAGCATACTAATTACCTGCCAAAATCTAATTGATCCAAGAACACAGTATATATATGGAACATGTATGCTTTTTGCATTTTGCTATTTATCAGTAATCTCTTAGGATGCTTACTTCACCCATTGAAATTCTGGGCATGCAGGGGCAGGAGTTATGCCCACACTTTTGAATCTTTGGTTCAGTAGTTCCCAAGTCAGACTGTGAATATCAACCACCTGTGATCCTACACCAGCTGTATTAATTTATATTCTGAGATATTGTATGGCTTAGACATTTATATTTTTAAAAGTGGTATAAGTGATTCTGATGCATAGCCAACATTAATAAGGACATTGGATTTTCATGGGGATTTTTATATGACATACAAAGTTTTGTGATAGTTTTGATATAATATGGTAATTAGTAAGATCTCTTTTAAATTTCCGAAAGTTAGGGATGAGAGTATAAGTATGTATGTGGACATGAATGTCTTTCAAAGTAACTCATTCAGTATAAATTGATTAAGGGCCTTCTCTGCCAAGCACTTTGCTGGGTGCTAAGGATACAAGAGTGATCATGACACGGTCCTTGCATTTGAGGAGCCTTTAATTAAGTCCTAGAAACTGTTACATATGCATTGAGAGTGTTCAAAAGGATTGGCTAGTTTATAGGAGAGCAGACGATTAGGAGGAGCCTCCTAGGAGAACTCTGACTTGATCAGGACAAAATCATTTTTTGCCCTATTAGGATAGAGGGGACAAGGGAAACAACATTGCACATGGTTTGAATAATGACACAGGTTTGTAGACAACTCTTCAAATGGTTTAAATGACAGGAGCACACGGGCCAGGCTGGTATCAGAGAGGGGAACAAGGGCCGGCACTTAGATGCATTTGTATATCATTTAAGGAATTTGAATTTATTACATGGATTGGGGATCCCTTGAAGAGTACTCAGGAGTTATATTATCAGGCAGAAAAAACATCACTCTGGCAGCAGCATGAGGGATGGGTTGAAAAAGTTAAAACTTGAAGTAGCAAGGCCATTCAGGCAACTATTGCAATAGTCTTGGCATGAAATGATACATTGAGGCAAGATTGCCCAGGGCTTTAACATTGAGATTATTTAAAAAATAAATTGCCTTGTGGTAGTGATGTCCTGTTTCTTTGTTTACTGGTTGAAGACTCAATTATTATAGATAATGCAGAATAGATTTATAAGCCAGTTTAGCTGCAAAGATTATTTTGGCCAAGGGTCACAGCTTTCTTACAGAATGTAAAATATTGTTGCAATGAGACTTTTTAAAAAAGTTGAATAGTAACATTATTATCATAAAGGATATAAAAGGCTGACATTTGAAGGCAGTGTCTCATTAACTCAAACTTAAAAATTACAAGCAACTTAAGAGACTGCATTAAACTCAGCTGCCTAGTTCATGCAAAACAATTACTCTTGACCAGTGCTGTGTAGCAGAAATATAATGTAAGCTACAAATAACAAGGGATATATGTAACTTTGAATTCTTTTAGCAGCCACATTAAAAGATTAAAAACGTGGCTGGGCATGGTGGCTCATGCCTGTAATTCTAGCACTTTAGGAGGCTGAGGTAGGAGGGTTGCTTGAGCCTAGGAGTTTGAGACCCACCTGGGGAACATAGTAAGATCCCGTCTCTACAAAAAATTGAAAGATTAGCCAGGTGTGGTGGTGTGTGTTTGTGGTCCCAGCCACTTAGGAGGCTGAGGTGGGAGGATCACTTGAGCCTAGGAGGTCGAGGCTGCAGTGAGCAATGACTGTGCCACTGCACTCAGCCTGAGTGACAGTATGAGATCTTGTCTCAAAAAACAAAAAT